CGTTTTTTCAGGAAATAATCCTATCTGCTATCAAACCTTTTAACATACGTACATCCCGGCAGCGTCTCAACGTACAGTATCGTACCTCGTACGCTGATGCGTTTGCCTGCCGCGTGAAATTTAAAATATTTAACAATTTTGTCGTATCGCTATCGCCATCTTAAGATCGAAATATCGTAAGTCGGACCATCGTAAGTCAGGGACTGCCTGTATTGAGTTTTTCTACCGAATTCAAGAAAAAAATGCTCTTCATGTTAATTGGCTCTCGTTTGATACATTCGATGGCATAATAAATACATTCGGTTTGAAGTGGAAGGGATATAAGGATCACGTCAACGAGAACATAGGAAGGTGATACCCCACAATGATCTTCAGAATTGCCTCTTACGTGTGGAAGTGAGGACACTATTTGTTACTGGAGGGCAACTAGCCATGCATGGGGGCTCTTGCGAACTATTCAAGGAGGTAAAGAAATTAATATAAAGATATAACATAACAGTTGTTGCGTATCAGAATACAAGGGCGGTTCCAGCATGAACAAACCAGATAAATGTAATGGGAAACTTATACTGATTGCTTGTAAAATAAAGTTCGACGTAATTTAGTGTGGTTAAGAGTTAGACCACTTTATACTATGGAGCCTGATGAGATTTTTTTTATAAAAGTAACTCTTCATATGCAAATTTAAATACTGTTCATCAGGAATACATTTCTCAATGTAATTATTATAACTCTTCTTGGTTCTTTCGGTAAAGTCACGTAGAAGGGAAGTAATAAAATAATAAAAATAAAACATAATAAAATCAAATAATTCTCACGACGTTTCGGCTACAACGCAAGCAGCCGTCTTCAGGTGAAGAATGAGACACTGTCAAGCTAGGAGCTTATATATAAGCTGAGTTGGAGGTGGAAGAAGAAGAGAGCCTTAACAAAAGAATGTGCATATCAAGAGGAATTTAGCATATTCATGGGAAAATGCGTAGGAGGTGGGCGGGGGGGTTTCAAAGTCATATTATGCCCATGCATTATGCAGGATCAGCAGCACCAAAGGGAGGGGGGTAGCATTAACAAAGGGAGGGCATGTTAATAATATGTAGAAGCAATGAAACATGTGAATGGGAGAACGGTGGCAGGAGACCCGCAGCGGAGCAAATAATGCATTCCCTGTGGAGAACACAAGATACACAGTTAATGCCAGTGAGTGGACTGCGGTCTGAAAGTCACCATAAACGTGAACAACAATCAGTTAAGATCCGAAGTGGTTTATTACGTCCTTCCAATGATTGTTGAGCCAGAATCCATCTTCTCGGTTGAAATTGTCTCTGTTTGTATATGTGGATCGCCTCATGAACGAATCTCTCATGGTAGCCAGATGGCTTGCAGAGAACCTCTGTCTTGGAGAAGTCAATGTCATGTGAGCCCACTAAATTGTAACAGTGATCTGCCACGGCTGAGATGTTTGTCCTACCGTGTTTCAGGTCTGCTTTATGTTCACGGATGCGATCCGAGACATGTCGTTTGGTTTCTCCAATGTAACTGCTACCACAGAGGCAACTTAGTTTGTAGACGCCAGGGTACTGTATGTCTGGAACCACGTCTTTTACAGACGGGACCAGATCACGGATTTTATGTACTGTGCTGAATCTTGTGTTTAATCAGGATTTTGGAGATCTTTTTTGTGACCCCAGCAATGTAGGGTAAGGTGATGGTTTTGAAAGGTTCCTCAGCAGGATCCTTCTTGACGGTTGGAGTGATGGCCTCCCTTTGGTGCTGCTGATCCTGCATAATGCATGGGCATAATATGACTTTGAAACCCCCCCGCCCACCTCCTACGCATTTTCCAATGAATATGCTACATTCCTCTTGATATGCACATTCTTTTTGTTAAGGCGCTCTTCCACCTCCAACCCAGCTTATATATAAGCTCCTAGCTTGACAGTGTCTCATTCTTCACCTGAAGACGGCTGCTTGCGTTGTAGCCGAAACGTCGTGAGAATTATTAGATTTTATTATGTTTTATTTTTATTATTTTATTACTTCCCTTCTACGTGACTTTACCGAAAGAACCAAGAAGATGAATCCCTGCAGTCACGAAAGCTTTAAATCGAAATTTAATTATTACTAGCTTTACTACCCGGCTTCGCCCGGGAACTTGGATTCACCACGCCCGGCCGCCTTTGTTTCCCCAGTGACGATGTTCACACACCACACGAGTTACTCGTTTGAGGCTGAGTCGACCTAGGGGAGGCCCAGGTCCAGTTCAAATAATCGTCACCGGTGGTGGCCGTGAGTGGGAATCGAACTCGGGTCCCCGGGTTCGTAGCGTGGCGCGCTAACCACGACACTACAATGCATTACGCTTCCGTTGTAGGATTTGTGTGAGGCGCGCCGATCCGCTGTAGGGTTTTAGTGAGGCGCGCCGATCCGTTGTAGGGTTTGTGTTAGGCGTGCCGATCCGTTGTAGGGTTTTAGTGAGGCGCGCCGATCCGTTGTAGTGTTTTAGTGATGCGCGCCGATCCGTTGTAGGGTTTTAGTGAGGCGCGCCGATCCGTTGTAGGGTTTTAGTGAGGCGCGCCGATCCCCCGCGATACAATAATACTGTGTAATCGCTATAATTTTATGATTTACCGAGCCTATAATAGTAATGTCACACATTGTGGTGGCGGGGGAGTGAAGAGGACGTGTAACTTTGATGAATTTACCTCAGAGTCGCGTGGTGGGTGTCGAGGCCTAGCACCGTGCAGAGCCTCCGGCCTCGCCTGATTTTCCCACCCGGTTGAGGCTGGGTACGGGTGCGGTCCCCCCCCCCCCCCCCCGTGCTACAATAATACTGTCTAATCGCTATAATTTAATTATCGACCGACCCTATAATAGTAATTGCACACATTGTGGTGGGGGGGGAGTGAAGAGGACGTGAAACTTTGATGAATTTACCTCAGAGTCACGTGTTAATGCGTGCGCCTATTTTTAAGGGGAATAAAAAATGGCGTCCACCCCTTGGCGAAGGCGTCGCTACCCGTTGCCAGGGGCAACCGCCGTCCAATGAAAGCGGCTAAGGCGTCGCTACCCATTGCCAGGGGCAACCGCCGTCCAATGAAAGTGCGTATGGTTCGGCGACACACAGACACACAGACAGATTCACGATTTTATATATATATAGATAAGTAAAGTGCGGTCTCCAACTCTTATGCTCTTTATTTCTCTTCCCTCTCTATAATCTATATATATATAAAATCATGAATCTGTCTGTCTGTCTGTGTGTCTGTGTGTCGCCGGACCATACGCACTTTCATTGGACGGCGGTTGCCCCTGGCAACGGGTAGCGACGCCTTCGCCGCTTTCATTGGACGGTGGTTGCCCCTGGCAACGGGTAGCGACGCCTTCGCCAAGGGGTGGACGCCATTTTTTATTCCCGTTAAAAATAGGCGCACGCATTAACACGCGACTCTGAGGTAAATTCATCAAAGTTTCACGTCCTCTTCACTCCCCCCCCCACCACAATGTGTGCAATTACTATTATACGGTCGCTCGATTATTAAATTATAGCGATTAGACAGTATTATTGTAGCGCGGGGGGGGGGGGGGGACTGCACCCGTACCCAGCCTCAACCGGGTGGGAAAATCAGGCGAGGCCGGAGGCTCTGCACGGTGCTAGGCCTCGACACCCACCACGCGACTCTGAGGTAAATTCATCAAAGTTACACGTCCTCTTCACTCCCCCGCCACCACAATGTGTGACATTACTATTATAGGCTCCGTAAATCATAAAATTATAGCGATTACACAGTATTATTGTATCGCGGGGGATCGGCACGCCTCACTAAAACCCTACAATGGATCGGCGCGCCTCACACAAATCCTACAACGGAAGCGTAACGCATTGTAGTGTCGTGGTTAGCGCGCCACGCTACGAACCCGGCGACCCGAGTTCGATTCCCACTCACGGCCACCACCGGTGACGATTATTTGAACCGGACCTGGGCCTCCCCTAGGTCGACTCAGCCTCAAACGAGTAACTGGTGTGGTATGTGAACATCGTCACTGGGGAGACAAAGGCGGCCGGGCGTGGTGAATCCAAGTTCCCGGGCGAAGCCAGGTAGTAAAGCTAGTATCTGATATTAAGAACACCCATTGCCTAAAACATCGTTTATCATGTTTCCGGTTAGGCAGAATTATTAACGATGTGATTTTTTTTTCTCTATGGGACCTTTTAGCCACTATCCAAAATGTTTTTGCCAGTATCATATTGAGTTATTTTCTTATTTGTGCCTGTGCATCATTGCTCACACAGTATTACCAAATAGTTTGTGACAATTATGTAAGATACGAATAAACACCAGTGTTGCATTTTGTATAAGGCAATAACAATGACATGTATACTTGTACTCTTAGTTCTTTCGGTAAAGTCACGTAGGTAAAAAATGCAGCAAATCTGGCTGTGACGGTCCCACCTGATGACAGAGACTTGTGTTGCCTCCGAAACGTCGTGATTTTTATTGTTTTATTTTTATTAATTTTAATTTCATTTTTACCTACGTGACTTTACCTAAAGAACTAAGAGTATGAATCCTTGCAGTCACGAAAGCTTCAAATCTAGAATTTATACTTGTGTTTCAGCATTTGATTGTGGATTTATTTGTGCGTTATTTTGTGGTTGTCATGTGCATTTGTTGATGTGTTTTAGTGGTAATAGTTGTTTATAGTCGTGGTTGTTTGAGCGGTTGTTTTCTGTGGTTGTAATTGAGTGGCTGTTTGGCATGTGTTTGTTTTTTAAACCCAGAGGAAGGATTGACCAATGTTACGCATTGTTTTCTACTATCAAAGTAATTTAGACACCAACCTACTGCTACTTAAATAAGTCCAACATCACTAACTTGGTTTACAGGATTTGGTGATCAATTGTATCAATGCCTTATCCAAGCCTATGAAGACAGCTGAGTCGTTAGTTGTTTCTATTGTAATGGTGTCTATATATGTTTTCTAATGCATTTACTGCATGTATAAAATGCTTGAAAAAGTCACAATGTAATTGTCACCAGAAATTTCACTGCCACCTATAAATAGACTATGAACAGGGGAGCATTGTCTCATTATCTATTTCTACGTTTATGTACTCGGGCCCCGGGTGACTTGTGAAAGAATGTATGAAATGAAGGTTAACTATTTTTGGGCAAATTCGCTGAAGTAATGGAAGATGTTTGTAGAAAACTATCATCTCTATCTATAAACTAACGTAACATATGATTAAACGATTTACTAGAAAAAGTTAAATTGATTCACTCATTGTTGTACAACAGATTTATACCATTTCTTTCACCTATCGTGATGTATTGTTGTTTTACATAATCTATTTCCAATGCGTGCATGTGTGCTTGGACATTATAGACTCAAACCAGCACACACTACAGCACTCTTTAAACTATGTTCAATTGCGGAGATGAAGCCCCAATTTGTAAGATTTTGGAGCCTTGGTGATCTGCAATATATAATCCAGGGTTGGTGGAGAGACCAGATCAGGCCAGATAAACTCAAAATGCTGCAAAAGAGATGCAAAGAAAAGGAAGAGCTCCATCTTTGCTAAGTTTTCCCCCAGGCAGACACGGGGACCAGCAGAGAAGGGCAGGAAGGCATCTGACTTTACAAACTTGCCATCCTCATCAAGGAAGTTTTCTGGACTAAATTCGTATGGGGTTTTCCAATGATTTTCATCACTCAGAACCGATTTCATATTCACCAGTATGATCGTCCCTTTTGGAATCGAGTACTGGCGTAACTTGACGTCTGTGGTGGTGGCATGCGGGACCCCGAATGGAATAATGTTACTGAAGCGCTGTATCTCATGGATCACAGCATCCAGGTAGGGCAGACTGTGTCTGTCCTCCATGCATGGTAGTCGATCTGATCCCACAATCTTGTCAATCTCCTCATGGCACTGGGCTTGTATTTCAGGGTGCATCATCATGTAGAGAAGGCCCCAGCGTAATGTGGTGGAGGTCGTCTCTGCGCCAGCAGTGAAAAGGTCCAACGTCAACATGATGAGACTCTGTTCTGAGAAGCTGGTGTTGGGATTGTCCTCTTTCTCCAATTGAGACAAGTAGGTGTCAATCAGGCACATTGGCTTGAGGGGATCTCTTGTTGCATGGCGTTCAGATATTATATCACGAATAAACTGTTTAGATTTTGCCATGTTTTTGAATATTCTCTGCTGCGGTCCAGGAAAGTCGATCAAGAAGGGAAAGATGTTGCATAAAGTTCCCAGCGGCCCTGATTGGAGCTGAAGATTGTTTTCAATGAGGTGCAAAAAAACCTGGAACTGCTTATCACTGTATTCATACCGTTTCCCTTTCACCATGGAACAAATTATGTTTCCCACAGCACTGTTTAAGTTATAGTGAGGGTCAAATGCCGATCCTTTCTGTTTAAATGCCTCAATTAAGAAGCCAACCTCTGTCTGAATGGTTTGTTCTATGGATGACTTACCAAGTCCAAAATTCCGCAATGTTGACAGAGTGAACCTACGATGTTGCATCCAATATTTTCCATATGGAGCAAAAATAATGCCTAGGCCTTCGTTTACTTTTTTAATGAGGGGGTTGTTTGGCCGGTCTGCAAACGCATGCCCTTGATGCACTAGGACCTCTTTTACTGCCTGGTAGCCACTCACAAACACCATGGAAATCTTGCCCACCATTACGCTGCACACCTCTCCATACTGTTTCGTAACTTCCTCTATGGCAACATCGGGTTTCTTAAACAGAGGCACATTCCCTATAAACGGTATCACTTTTGGGCCAGGAGGAAAGTCCAATGGGCGTTTAGTTGCCTTTACCTCCTGGAGTATAGTCCGAAGAACCAGGAAAAACTATGCAAAATATGGCCAGGCTGATCAGTGCCTGGTGCCCCAAGAAAGAGCTCCATTTCTGAGCAGCAGCAGTTGTGTCCAGAAGTTGGCCCATACTGTACTGCAGGTTGTGCGATGTAGTAAGATGAGTACTTCTCTCGATTTTTGATGAAGACGGTGTTCTGCACACACATTCACACACATGCCAAGTGGTATTATGATATATGATTTCCTGAACATTGCATTTATCACATGGGGCCTTAACAACAATAAACTGACAGACTAGTCTCTGATTAGATACGGGCAGTCCCCAACTAAAAAACTGGTTCCGTTCCTGAGACCTTTCCATAAGTCGCACGGAACGCAATATACCATATTTAAATGTCCATACAGTCAGTTATAAAATGTGTTACGGTGAATAAAAAAGGGAGACATTTATAGGTAGGAACAGCAGTTCCACACTGCCCACCAGGGATTATTTGTCGTCTGTTGTGCATAGCACGCCCTCGATTTGTATTCAAAGAGCGCTTCGGGAGGGCTCAGCACACGTGACACATGCCCACGCAGCTGCGCCGAGTGACACGGATCGCAGGATTGTGCTGTCCAAACCAAGTTCCTAACAGCCCACTCTGAAGGAACGTGTTTAACTCATCAATGAGAAGAAATACTGTGCATTTGCATGTGTAGTGCATCAATAAAGACATCACACCACGTGAGTTGATGCGAGTCTTTATTAACACTTCCCTTACGGGACGAAGTCCTATAATGGTGTAAACGTAACTACCCTATGTAACATGGCTTCACAGTCTCACGTCCCAGTCCCTGACGTCCACACTATATACACTACTTCGCCTCGGCATTTCTCCCACTTAGTAAAAAATTATAGCAGTGATTTCACACCTGATGATGATTGCTTGTGTTGCAATCGAAACGTCGTGATTTAATTAACTTTTATTTTTTTCTATTCTATCTCTTATTTTTATATATTTTTTTTACCTATGTGACTGTACCGAATAAAACCAAAGAGTATGGATCCTTGGCATTCACGAAAACGTCTAGAATAAAGTAAAGTAACATGAAATGAGAAAAAAAAATTGTATTTCCATTCAGTCCTGATGTGGCACGCGCGACCACGGGGACACACACAAACAATGACGATTGCCGTATAGCCTTAACAGACTGGGGGACAAGTGCTGTTAGCGAGTAGCACCAATGAAGACTGATACGGCCACACGGAGTGCATTTCCAGCACCACGCCTTTTGACTCCCCAGTAGTGATATTTACACACAAAATCAGGTACTAATTTGAGGCTGAATCGCCCTAGGGAAGGCCCAGGACCCATTAGGTAATCGTCATGGTATTGATCGTGATAAGGAATCGAACTTGGGGTTACCTAGTTCGTAACACGAGCGTCTGCACGGGCACACTCACTTTACGACGAGGGTCCTACGATGTAGGGCTGTATTTGTTTTGTTACGTGTTGTGCTAATTTGTA